GTGTGTGTGTGTAAGTGAACCCATGGCTTTTGTTTGACGATGTAAAGAACAAAAGTGAAAATAAAATTAAAAAAAAATGATAGGGGTTAAACAAGTCACAATAATATATGATTAAAGCCTTCCATCCAAATGCCCCAAAGGGAAGTTGTTGTAGCCCTAGCCTAAGAAGCTTTACACATATAGTGTGATTTATAAATTCAAAAAGCTTTTTTTTTTCCAATAGCTCATCTTTTGAAATTAAGTTCTGCTTTTAAATTTGTATTCATGATAGGAGGGGGGATTTATTCCTCTCCCTTCCTTTTTTTTTTAACCAAATCCAATCATCTCCCCTCAACAAGGAGTAAATGATTATATATAAAAAGAAAATATTTAGTAAAATATGTGTTTACAAATAATTAATTTAATTAATTTTCTATATATGTGAATTGGCCAAAAAAAAGTTATTTAACTTTTAAATTTTTGACCGAAGAAATTATTATTAATATAATCAGGCTTTTTATAGATTCTATAATCTTTTTGAGCAAATAATATGTTTTGTGTGCCAATATAAATATATGCATATATATAGACACGCACATATGAGGAACATGATAACGTTAGCTAATATTCCTTTGTTCCATGTCGATATCAAACTTTTTTAAATTTGTTCATTCGAAAAAAACAAAGATCGGATCTAGTCAAAAGAACAAAAACTAAATAGTAAGAACTCCTCAGATGTTCTTAATTAAAATCATTTTTTAAATGCCAATCACATAGGCTTGTTACACTTGTATTTACTTTTACAATATAATAATAATAATATTCACATACAGTTTACAGGTAGCTAAAGCAGTTAAGCGCATAATTCAACGAACAAAGCCAATTAAACCACTAAGTATTTCTCGTTATTATATTGTCTTTAACTAGATATTAATTCATGGCTAATGGGTGTTTAAGACTAAGTGTGATGTGTGGAATTTATAACACACACAAACAGAAGACAAATTATACATAAGATGGATCAGGAGGAATCCAATAGATTCTGATCGTATTTTGCTTATATGCTACGATTAACTTTTAATTTATCTTTTTTTTTTCTATTAGGAATATCATATCCGAGATTTGTTATCTAGAAGTTTCAGATTCAAATTTGGGGGAGAAAACCATATCTTATACCGTATTGTCGAATACGGAGCCCTAATTTGGAACAAAGAAAAACGAAATTCAATAGCTTAAAGAGAATTTTTATTGAACTTTTTTTTATAAGACTAACGATGCTATGTAGAAATAATTGCTAAACATTAAAGTGGCAACAAGAGCAAAGAATTGGGATAACATAAATAAGAATGTTGATTAAAAAATATATTATATTTATGAAAACCATATTTGATTAGTTAATGTTGATATTATTAAGAGAACACTATTGCAAAAAATACTTTTAGATTGGTAAAAGAAGACTTTTCATGTTGGTTATAGGAGCGTAGTAAAAATGGGCAACTTAGTTTGCGTCAATAAGCGTTGTATAGAATGCTTTCTACGTTGGTTAAATTTTAACCGAGGTAGAATGTTGTTTTTCTTTTGAGAAAAAAAAATCAATTATTCAGTCTCATCTTCCATAGTCATGAAACACCAAAACAATCATATTCAAACAAAATATAGGGGTTTAGACTCATTAAAAGAGATTACAAAAATATTCCCAAAACATGTATTATAAATTGGTTCCTTCTTAAAGTCATGACTGCCTAGACAATCTAAGGTGCAAGTCCTCAAAAGTATTTTCAACAGAGAAGATGAAGAAGATCTAAGAGTGTTGAACGTCAAGAGTGAACCGGATTTAGAGAAAAAACCCATGATGCAACTTGAAATGGCAGAGAAGGAGATATGAAAGAGAATCATCAGCCGTTATATTTGAATACGGCGCTAGTGTGAGCAGGAATGGATAATCTCTTAGGCTTGAATATGAGGCAGCACCGGTGGAACATGCAGTTAGGATGGAAATAGGCTATGCTTTAGCTAAATAGACCTGGGCTTACAATAAATATCTAAAACCTGAGTTTGGGTCTAAGCCTACATATAGTTTTTTTTTTTAAAGGCCTAGACCTGAGCCTTTAAAAGGCCTGATAAGGCCTAAAGTTTTTTAAAGACCTATATAAAATGTAGGCCTTTATAGGCCTACAAGTTCATATGTAACCCTTAAAACCTATTTAAAAGTTTATGTTATATCTTAAAAGTCTAAAATCTATTCTCACTTACAATAAAAGAGTTTAATAAGAAAAAGAAAAGAATACATATTTATAACAATTGTCAAACCAGGCAAGTGTTGGCATGTGTTGGTAACGTGCTAATATGGTTTGACAAGTTTGGACAAGTTCCAGGCAAGTGTTAGGATGTGTGAGTAAGGTACTTGTATGGTTTAATAAGCTTAGACAAAGTCCAGGTATGGGGGCTCCCCTAATGTGTAGGCACGCCTTGGCTTAGTCCGGGCAAGCTTAGATGTAGGAATAAGAAAACCAATCACCTGTTGACTAAAAAGATATATTTTCTAAAATTAACCAAGCACAATAAGTGGCATGTAAAACTAGATTTTACCTCTTTTGGTTTTCCTGCATATATAAGTTGTGGCAAATTCTTCCTACTAAGATTATGATATTTCATTTAAGCATCACTAAAATGAACTGACAACAATTTTTTTGTCTTAACAAATAACATAGATATGGGGAGGAAAAGTGAGCTAACATTGCCATTTTGATGGATCAAAAAGAAAAGAGATAAAGGTGAAAGGCTAATGAATGAAAGGTGGCTAATCTTTTGTAGGAATGTTGTGATGTGAAACTTAGGGTCAAACTAAAGTTTGAATTTTATAAATAGTTTATATTATGTTATATATAATAGTGCAAATTTAAAAAAGAAAAAAGAAAAAAACTCAATAGGCTAGGCTTGTAGGCTTGTAAACTAGGCCTCATGAAAATATATAGGTATAACCTATTTGCCTAAATAGGCCTGATTATGAGCCAGTCTTATTTACGAAATAGGCTAGGCTAAGTTTTATGCAGGCCAAGTCCTAGGCCCCACATAGAGGTCTAACCCACTTCTATCCCATGTAGTATGAGAATAAAAGGAGAATGGGGCTAAAGAGAAAATGAAACATTAGGATTAAAAATAACCAAGTGTCATCGTAGTATTAGTGATCTGTGTGCTGGATAGTTTTATTCATTTATCCATTTTTTAAAATTAAGAGAATTACTAATGGTTATTTGTCTTTTAATTACACCAGTTAATTTTACTCTCGTGAGATAATCGGCCTTAATATCCTTCTATAGTGTTCTCATTTGCGATTGCCGATTGCTACTTAATTTGTGCTTCCTTTTGAGTTAATAGCCGTATTTTGTCCCCATAATGATGCAAATAATAAATTAAACCAAAGGGGCTAATTAGACAAGAAATACTAATGCAATAAAAAGTTTAGGGAAAATTAATCTTTTCGTCATTCAAGTTTTAACTCAGTTGTGATTCAGTCCTTCAATTATAACTCGGTGTAATTCAATCCCTGAATTTTTAACTCATTTAAAACTCAGTTATTGATATTTACTCCACTTAAAAATTGTATCCTTATCATCCATAAATCAAGCTAAGTCATCCAACCTGGCATGAATAAACTACCATATAAGAGCCACGTCAGCATAAGGAGAGAAGGGGGAAAAGCCTAGGCAATCAACAATGCCAAAGAAGAAGCCGTTACCAGGAAAGACAACCCAATTCCAACATTGAAACATTTATCCTCAATGACCACTCATTAAAAAGCATGGGCACTGGGATATAAGAATATCTTCATTTTTTCTACTTGCATAGATGTTTTCTGTGGTGGCAATAGACGTCCTTTTCTCCTAATGATGCTTTAAATATATGAACAATTGAATATAACAACGTACTAATAAGAATCCTCCTCCTTCACCATGTTGATCTTTTTCTTGTTTTTTTTTGTTCTGGTTGTTTTGCATAGTCATAGGACGAATGAGTATAAAAATATGTTTTGAATGTAATTCAGTAAAATAGTTGTCCTTATACGGAGTGATTTCAAAGTGCATATTTTCAATATGTGGGTCACTCATTTTCTATACAATGTGTGGGCATAGCGTGATTTTAAGTATCAAGCATGGAAGATGGAATTCAATTAAAGAAAATGAATTAATGATTTTGTTAAAGTACTCGAAACTTGCATATTTGGTGATTATGTCATTAAGGATAACTGTTTCAATGTCAGAATTGGGTTGTCTTCTTCAGCATGGAATTCAGTTAAAGAAAATGAATTAACGATTTTGTTAAAGTACTCGAAACTCACATATTTGGTGATTATGTTATTAAGGATAACTGTTTTAATGTCAGAATTGGGTTGTCTTCTTCAGCAACAGCCTCTTCTTTGGCATCGTTGATTGCCCAGGCTTTTCCCCCTTCTCTCCTTATGCTGATGTGGCTCTTATATGACAGCTTATTCATGCCAGGTTGAATAACTCAGTTTGACTTATAGATGAGAGGGATACAATTTTTAAGTGGAGTACATGTTAAGAACTGAGTAAAAGAGTTAAAAGTTTAGATACACTGAGTCATAGTTGAGGAACTGAGTGAGTTAAAACTTGAAGGACCAAAAGATTAATTTTTTCAAAAGCTTAAGACACTATAATTACGTGAAATCCGAGGGGGAAATGAGTAGATTTGGAGAGAATTATAATGAGATCATAAGATTAAAAAAAATAATTACCTATAAGTCTTAATAATAAGTGAAGAATCATCATTTACTATTCTAAAACTTATCCTTCTCACTGAAATTTTTTAATAATTATATTGTTTTACTCAGGATTCAAAGCAGTTCTCCGATAGATTTTTCTAAGACACCTACGAACATGATCTCATAAACAAGACGAGTACAATAATGGGAAACTGTAGATTTCATTTTCAGACTCTGTTCATTCACAGTAAAGTTAACAGACAATAACAATACCCCAATACAAGTTTTTCTCCCCTTTTTCGTATCAATCTGATCTTCATAAAGACAGTTCCAATAATCAGAACTGTTCACTACCAAAAAAGGAAGAACTGGACGAAAGGAAGAGAGATTGAAACGAAGTGGTTTATAGCCCAACAGAATCAACCTCCTCCACTTTTCTTCTTTTGATCTTCTGGTTCAAGAAGGTCTTGCAGCACCTGATCATCCAAACACTCAAACTCGAGAACTTGTCTTCCACTTGCATGACCATGAAAAGGTGAAGACGAAGACGACGAGGAAGAAGCCGGAGAAGAAGAAGAAGATGCTAAATAGGGAGGATATGGTGGGGAGCCTCGTACTTGAGCATAGTATTCGTTGGGGAAATTAAGGATTGCGAGGTGTCCTCTCATGTCAAAGGCAGCTTTGTCATACGCTCTTGCTGCTTCTTCCGCCGTATCAAAAGTCCCAAGCCACTGCCTCGCCCCTTGCCTCGACGGATCCCTTATTTCCGCCGCGTACTTCCCCCACGGCCGCCTCCGGACTCCCCTGTAGTGGACCTCCTCCTTCCCCTTCTCCGTCTTGCCCGTGTGCTTATCCATGTTATGTATATGGCCTTCTTATTTAGAGTTTTGATCGGCCGAAGCAATGCTTATATAGGTAGCCTGAGTATATATACATGTGACACTTGTATTTCTGGGATGGGAATGTTGTCCTTTAAATAACGAGATATGATTATATCGTACATGTGGGCGTTAGCAGCACAAAATCCAAGAAGAAATCGCATCCCAAGAGGCTAACCCCATCAGGAGGGAAAGTTACAGAATCTGCCAGCAAAGATTGGTCCGGGTAATAAAAAGTTAACTCCATGATATAAAGAAATTATAAGTCTTGACTTAACTCACTTAAATTTTTTATTATAAAAAAAAAAAGGTGTAAACCCCATTTCTTACACGAATCTCCCCAATTAATGCGAGACTTATAATATTGGGTTCATTTTTTTAAAAATTTGGGATAATATAATTTTTGGTCTTTCAAGTTTGTTCTTATTTTGATTTTGGTCTCTTAAATTTTGGGCTGTAGGTTTTAGTTCTTCAAATTTTTTTTTATTTTATTTTAGACATTGGTCTATATAATTCAATAAAAACTTAGATCATTTTGCTTATTAAAGAATAAAAACGTATGGTTTGAAATTTGAGGAACTAAAACCAAAATAAGGATAAATTTAAGGAACCAAAATGATGTTAACGCCAAAAATCTAAAATGGGGTATTTACTAATGTACGGTTTGGAAATAACGCGCCTTTCTATCTTTTATATCTCCTATAATGATTGATGTAATTGATATAATATATACACTACACTGAAGTAAAAAATTACTGCGCCTGTATCTCTCATTGGAAGAATTAGAATGTGACATAAATTGATCAAGACTTGTTGCTTCTTCCCAGAAGTTGGATCATCTCAATACAAATAAACTTGATATATTCTTCGATTATGCCCACGTTTTTTCATCAAAAAAACGTAAATCATGACAAGAACAAAAGTATATATATGGAGGAGACAAATCTTTCTATCACAAATCTCATGCAACATGGCAAAATCTCTTACACTGTATATATTCCATCAAACTCAGAATCCTTCATAGCTCTCGCTTACGCTACATATATATAGTGTGTGCCACTACTAACATTAAGTTTCTGTTCTGTGTCTCAAGGGTATCTATTTGCGTCTATATATATATATAGATCTATCTTTTTAATATATGCTGGTATATATTTTGATTGTGTTATTAATTTACATTTGGGAATATTGAAAAAACTTTTGTTGAGTCATTTTAATAAAAAAAAAATAGTGATTGAAGTATCAAAACCGACAGCAGAGTGGGGAGAACTTTAGATTAGAGTCGCAAGTCTAAATCAGCAAACTATTGTATGGAAATGACTTGATAGGAGACATGGATGGGTGAGTCTTTGCACTCAAATATATAAAGTAATGCAAACAAGGCAGCCTCAACAATTCCTAATCTTGTCGCCCAAAGCATCCAACCTTTTAATCTTGTTTAATATAATACTAATTAGTATCAAATCATAATATTTTTAAATTAACAATCAATCCACATTTTTGTGTTGACCTAAACATTTGGTTTCTTTTCAACTGTCTCTAGGTTGGAGATGATTTCTTTTTTAAATAATCAAGCATAATAAGGGTAACTGTGAGCTTCATAGACATGTCAAAATAGTTACAATGCGTTATACAAAATAGCTGTCAAGACGGTTATATTGAGTAATACAGAACAACTTATTATATATGAAATTTAAAAAAACTATCCTCTTAACATTATCATTTTTGACTTAATTGTAACTTAGTTCCCAAACTTTAACTTGACGCAACTTAATCCCTAGAGTTTTGAATTGGTTGACTCGGTTTCTAAATTTCAACTAAATTCAACTCAACCCCAATGATTAATTATATATTGCAATGGTTAAAACTATAAGAAATGAATTACAATGAGTCAAAGATCAAGGAACGGAGTTTTAATTAAGTCAATCATAGGAACTAGTATACTAAGTCAATTTAAGGACAATTTAAGGAGGGGTTTACCAAAAAAATTAGTCTTGATCACATAACTTGTCTTAGTTAAGTGGGTTGGGAAGCTTAATCAAACTCAAATGGGTTGGATGAGTTAGCTAGCTTAATTTATCAGTGAAAAAAAGGCATTTAACCCAAAATAGAAAGGTGCTATTGAGAGGAAGGAGGAAGTAGTGGCAACTATGGTGGTAGTGGGTGGTGGTGGGGATGGTGCTGCCAAAGGATGAGAATGAGATAGGGAAGAGGTATGAAGAAAACTAATTCAAATTTTTGTACTTTTGATCATCCATCATCTCGTGAGGAAATGATGGATGGACCTCTTGTATTTCTTCTTAATAAATATGCTTCCGTTCCTGAATTTTTTTTCCCAAAAAAAAGAAGTCGCTGGCATGTTATAAGTAAATGCATAAAGGTAATTTGGTAGCTCACGATTTGGATCCCTTAATGCGTCATTTTCCCGGGGGATAAAAAATGAAGTTCAGCAAATTTCACAAACTAGGCACATATCTTTTTGATCCATTCCATAAAATAAAATACAAAATAAATTAAAATATTCACACCTTATTATAATTTCAAAATTTCTTAGTATTGGTGACATTGATATTGATTGCCATTCGTTTTCCATTTTCCTTCCATCAACGAAATCTAGGCAACTTGAATCAATTTTAAAGGAAACTGAAATTATTAATGGACACTCAAATAGACCGCGGGCCGATCTACGGACAGAGCTTGAGCCATGAGGCAATTCATATCTTTAAAATAACGCTTTTTATTTTGATAAATTAAAATAATGCACTTTCCAATAGATTTTAGGAAGAATCTTAAATTTCAAATTAGTTTTGTTCACTATATTTTCACCACACTTTAATAACAATTGATAACATTTAAAAAGCAAATAATAATATATTTTTGTAATCATTACTGATTTGAAAATTTAAAATTTTAAAGATATTTTTTTTGCAATCCTCTCTAAATTATTATACTCATAATAGTTAATATGAAAACTAGTTTAACTTTCAATTTAATTCTAAATATATAAACTTAATTCAATTTGTCTCTTATATTTATCTAATCTCCCCAACCCCCATTGTCCCATTTTAATATTTTCAGGCACATTGTCCCATTTTAATGTTTTCAGGCAACCTTAAATGCACGAAAACTTTCAAAGTAATATTCTTAAAATTTTCGGGCTAAATTTACACCATAACGCCATGGATAAATTATGGATATATATGGGTTTTCTAAGCCATGTTTTGTTAGCAAGGGTTGCACATAATAGCATCTTATACTTATCATAATCGATTACTTAACAAATTAATACGACACTTTAGAATGGTTGGACAGTAGAAGTTAAAATCTAAAAATGTTTAGATAAAGCCAAATCATGATTTTAAAAATAATTTTACAACATACAGAATAAATATATAAAGTAATTTGTCTAGATTTATAAAAAAAAATGTTTTTTAAAAACACTTTTGAGCGTCCCATACACTCCCTGATGCATGGCCCCACGAAAATGGCAAGGGTTAAATTCCTATTCACAAAATTTTCTTAAGATCATCTCCCTGACCACAAAGAATGCTCATGACTGGTTTGGTTGTGTTTGGTAAGAAGCATTGGAAATTAAGGATAGGGATTGGAATTGAAAAAATCTATTAAAAGAATATTTAACATAAGAAATTATTTATTGTATGGGATTAGCAAACTCATATATGTGGGATTAGAGAATACCATAGGGAAAAATAGTATTCTCCAACCTTACCTCTATGGGTTTGTCTAATCCCATACCACAAGTAATTAGTCATATTAAATACTATTTTAATGATTTTTCCAATGACAATCCCGATTTCTATTTCTTGTTTTTAATACTTTCTACCAAATGGGACAAAAGAGAATATAAAAAAGTTGGGAACAAATATGAAGGAGCCATTTAAAGGAAAGGAAGTTTAGATTAGCTTCAGCTTTCATAGACCTACAATCACAAAAATTTACAGGCGATTTACAAATACAAATGTGCTCAACTTTATCAATATTTCATTATAGATGACATTGCTTCCAAGCATGCAAATGGGCAAAAGATGAATATATGCTAGAATCAGCAAGTCCAAGTCCAGTAGCACTCTCTCCAGCTCCAACAAACTCGCCGAGCCAATTGTAACATTTAAGCAACCACCCAATCAAAAACCAAGGAAAGGTGGGAGCCAAACGAAGGGTTCAAAGTACAATTATACTCCTCCCCTTTCCTTTGATCCAATTGGTTTCCTATTTGGTTTAGATTGTCTAGTTTTGAAGATTATAGAACTTGAGAAAATTTTGGGCTCGAGTTTTGGTGGAAGAAAGAGGTACAAAGGAGAACAGGATAACCCGTCAATTCATTAACTCTTAATTTTGGTGGAATGCATAATTGGGATCTAAATAGTTCTTCTTCATGAACCAGTCAAAAACTTAACTTTAAGTGTGAAGAATAACTGCAGTTTAGTGAAGGTTGGTACCTTCCACTGGGCACTTATTTGAGTCTTCAAAACGAGTTTGATTGGCTTGTTCGCTGTAATGTAGAGCATTAAAAGTGCAAGTGAAGAGTCGGACGGATGGAAATCCAAAGAATCAGGAATTGAAGCTATTGACAAGCTCAGACACTTCAGTTGGTACCCAGTTACGTAACAACTAGTCCTTAGCAATTAGGTTAGGCTTCAATCATATGGTTAGGCATTAAAATGTGTAGAATCTCTATATGAATATCGATGCTTCGGTTAGAGCGTCTTGAAGGATTATTTTACCAGCGTAGGATTAAAAGTTGCATCTGAAAAGGTAAACTTCCTCATCATTTAAGCTGCAATCCGACGTATTAGTACAAGGCTCAACCCATACACGCGAAAAATGAAAATTTGACCTCTTTTCTCATTTATAATATATTACCACAACGTTTGAAGTCGCAGATATAACTAACATGAGCATAAAAAAAGTCCACAAGCAAAATATGTATATCAATTCAGAGAGAAAGATAACGAATC